CTTGTGAGCCGAGCGGCGCGTGGGAGACTGCCTGTCGAGCAGTGCACGCGTGTCATCGAAGTTCTTGGCCTACTTGTCCTGCCTCTATTACTATGGCAGTCCCCTCCCCGTTGCCCTGAAAGGCATGGTGGGAGGGCGACGGTGTTCGCGGTGCGTGCCATTGCGGAGTCAGCTAAGAACGGAGCTAAGAACGAGAGAAGATGAGGAGGGACGGGGCTGACGGAGGGAATGGCTTTGACGACGAAGAACGCCAGCAGCGCATGTGACGGTGGCGAGAAAATGAGTTTTTGTTCTCGCGAGGGTCGGTCTAGTCTGGTCCGGTCTGGCCTGCGACTCCTTTGGGATCTGCGAGTTGGACTTTCGTGTGAGTTACTCTGTTTTCGTGTGAGTTACTCTGTCTTCGTGTGTGTTACTCTGTTTTCGTGTGAGTTTCTCTGTTTTCGTGTGAGCTACTCTGTTTTCGTGTGAGTTACTCTGTTTCGCTACGTGTCGCTGAGAAAGGGAGGAGCTAGGGATTTGGAGATTGACACTCGGAAACCGGCTTGTGACGCGGAAGTCACAGCAGGGCACAACATGCCCTGGTTACCATTTACAGCCAGGTGTAGATTTTGGGCGTCGGTGGGCTCAATGATTGGTGGCATTGCCCAAACTCTTGGGGAATTACAGCCTTCTTATTGGCTTGCTAACAATGAAGGAGATTTTCCTATCCCAGCCTACGTGTCGTGGGAGATCAGAATCACTCGATCAAATCTTGCTTGGCCACAAGCATTCCATCTGTAGCAAACCTCCCTATCTTTGTGAGGGCGTCCGAAGAGTACGTCCAAAAGAGTACGTCCGATAAAGGTTTGGACCTGAACCAAAGCGGTCTAATTTAAAATCCAGATTGTTGGGTAGGGTTCTCAGCAAATACGTACATTGTTTACCCTCTAGTTCGAGGCCAGCCAGCCAACCAGCCTTCGGGGACTTCAGTTTCCGCCTTACCTTGCTTGAGAAGCCAAGTGACTGGTTTTCGAAACAGGTGGTACTATGGATACGTTTCAACTGGCTGACAAATTACATCTCAGGCGATCGGCGATGCGCCGCTGCAGGCGGTCCTTGAAGTGGCTGTCCTCGCCGGCGCAGCGACTGAAAGAGCACGGGTCACAGAGGTGTCCGGAGGGGGAAGGGAGTGCTTCATGATTGCGTGATAGGAGGGGAGTAACCCGAGCAACGTGTAGGATCAGCAGCGGATTTCGTTACGAATCCACTGAAAGCCGAGCAACACAACTCAGTTCACCGCCATTGGCCTACCGCCGCTAGCCTATATGCACCTAGAATTGAGTTGGGGCTTGCTTGAGTCTCTTAGTGGATTCGTTTCAAACAGAGCCGTTCCAAACAGAGCCGTTTCAAACAGAGCTGCTCCAAACAGGGCTGTTTCTTGCTCAGAAGGCTTGTGTGGATCTCCTGTCGTAATATTCCGAAACCCTCCTGTATTCTTTTGCCTATTCGCCGGTCGTTGGCGGTGATGGCTAGCCGTGGAGATGAGGTAGCTGTCAGTCTTACAGCTCCCGCTGATGCGGAGAATCATCATGAGGTGAGAGTGATGCCGCAGCCAGTGAAACATCACAACATTTTTTAGCCAATTCCCTCGATTCTCACCACATCCTCCTCAGGAAAAGACAATGGATTTGTAGTATCCTCGCTCTCTAACTCTCCCTCTTTCTGTTAAATTTAACACATTCCCCAACCCAGATCGTGGACGTGGTTGATCTGCTGCCCGGCCCCATCTGGCACATCATCTTCCGCCACTTGCTGCTGGGTAGCGCCTCCGGCGCATCACAGGAGGGAGGAGCAGGCAGCTCCTCCGGCGCATCACTTCTTAGTCGACTCAAAAAGAAGCTCCAGAGTCTGGGTAACTCCTCGGGCGCATCACAGGAGGGAGCAGGCAGCACCTCGCCGGGTGCCACTGGGAGTGGACTTCTGAGTCGACTGAAAACGAAACTGCAGAATTGGGGTAATTCCTCGGGCGCGTCGCAGCAGGGAGGAGCAGGAGACGCGTCCATCACGGAGGAGCAGCACGCGGAGGCATTGCGGACCTTCGGCTCCTGCTGGCCTCTGCTGCGCTGCGCCATGGTCTGCAAGAGACTCCTCCGCCATGTCGCCTCCTTCCCCGTGAGTCTCTCATTGCTCCCCGTGAGTCTCTCATTGCTGCCCGTGAGTCTCTCATTGCTCCCCGTGAGTCTCTCATTGCTGCCCGTGAGCCTCTCATTGCTCCCTCTTCTCTGGGTGTTGAGCTATGAAGCGGTCACGGCTAAGCCTCCTCATCCATCTTTGTGTCCGTAGCTGCGTGTGAGGAAGATTTCGAGCCAATGACGCTGCCAAGCAACACTCAGGAGACTTCTAACTTGACTCACAAAGTCGCTCCTCTACTCTTACCTTCTCATCGCTTTTAGTGTGTCTGGCCATCTCTCTGTCACACCGTGTGCGAGCAGGACTTGGAGCCCATGACGCTGCCTATCAACCCCCAAGACCCCGCCACGCTCACACGTCCCTCGGGAACGCTCTCTGTCTTCCTCAGGCACGCGCCTCACACGCCCCTCAATGTCGTTCTCAACAGCCCCCAGGACCTTCACTGCCTCAGCCGTCTCTTGGGACCCTCTGCGCGCTCCCTCACAACCTTGTGCCTTGGGCTCAAGAAACCTTACGACAGTTTCCGGCTCCTTGAGAGCGAGCGGCTGATGCGTTCAGCATTTCTAGGGGAGTTTGAGCAGCTGCAGAAGCTGGAGCTAGGCTACGGGACTTGGCAATTAGGCAGCCTGAATCCAGCAATGTTCCGGGCTTTAAGGAGTCTGAGCATCCACGATTTCCAGCGCGGCAGAAATGTTCTGCCCGTTCTCTCATCCATCGCGCCGCAGCTGCATGAGCTCGCTCTCGCCTGCTCCACCCATGGCTCTGGCTCTGCCTCTACCACCCTTGATTTCAAGCTCACCGCTGCTCGATCTATCACAGTCTGCTTTGAGAATCAACCGCTCCACCTCCGCTTCGCCCTGCCTGCCTCTTTGAAGTCCTTCTCGGCCACTGCGGGATGTCTTCATGTGGATTGCACATGCAACAGCCGCCTCTCTCTCGACTCGCTCTCTCTCATTGGCCGCTCGCAGCTTCTCGTTTCTTCGCTCCCATTGGCTGCCGCCAAATCCGTCTACCTGAACGGCTCCCAAAAAGACGAGTGGCATGCTTTTCCTTGTTCCAATCTCGAATCCCAACGCGCCTTGTCCCTCCTGCTCAGCAACATAGCGCCTACAGTGGAGACGCTTGTATTGAGGTATGGCTGGCCTCTGGAGGGCGTGCGTGTGGAGTGGAGCCTGCTGCGTTGCCTTTTTGTTGGTATAGATCGTCAGAGCACTGGGGGGATTACTTATAAATCTCGTCCGGGGGATCCGGAAGATTCTGATTTTCTGGCGTTCCTTCGTGAGGGAGAAGAAATGGGCTTCAGCAGCAGCAGCGGCGGCGGCGGCGGCGGCGGCGGCGGCTTGCTCATCAATGCTCCGAACTTGAAGTATTTTTACGATGTCACATGGCTGCTTGATATTGAGATGTGGGAGAGGAGAGGGGGCGGGATTATTTTTGAACGAAGGCGCGGGGTGGTGGTCAGGGATTTGAGTGAGTTGTACGAGGTGTGAGGATTGCATGTGTGAGGGAAGTGTGTGCAGGGACGAGCGGGAAGGGTGGTGTGTGCTGATAATGGTGTTGGCAAAGGTGTGGGCATGGGGTGGTGTGACCAAAGGTGTGGGCATGACGTGGTGTGACCAAAGGTGTGGGCATGAAGTGGTGTGACCCAAGGTGTGGGCATGGGGTGGTGTAGCCATGGGGTGGTGTGACCTGCTGCCTGCTGCCTGCTGTTGTCTGCTGCCAGAGCAAAGGGCCGCTGTTCCACCAGCTGGTCACAGCAAAGGACTTCGTGAGGGCTGGTTGTAATTTATTGATGTATTTCTGTTGGGTATTGATGCTCTGTGTTTTGCTTGCTTTACTTCCCATTGTTATCCCTCCCACTTGTCTTGGATAGATTATATTTTCCTTCTCTAACTCGCTTGTTGATGCTTCTGGCATCCACAGCTGCACAGAGCTTATCCACCGCTACTGTACATTCCTCTATACCCACGTGTGTACATAAATTCCTCTGTAGAAAGAAAACAAGCACACGTGTGAGCATACCAGTACCACGTACATCTCAAGTGCCCAAACTCATGCTCTCCCCAGAAATCATTGGCTCGGCTGATAGCTTCAGGTGCTGCTGCTGCAGGTGCTGTTGCTGCAGGTGCTGTTGCTGCAGGTGCTGTTGCTGCAGGTGCTGTTGCTGCAGGTGCTGTTGGTGCAGGTGCTGTTGCTGCAGGTGCTGTTGCTGCAGGTGCTCTATCCACTACTGTTGTTACAGTCACACTTAAGTTAATTCCTGCACCCTCCACCACATTGGCCTTCGCTACAAGCACATCAATCGGGTGCACGGTATAGTGAGCTGCCATGCGGGTGCTCTCATATGCTGCCAGCAGAGTGAGGGTGTACTCTCTGTATCCCAGCATAACCATCTGTGGGGGTAGGGACGGGGGCGGGGAGGGCAAGGAAGGAGGTAGACAGTGGGTAGTGAGACTGAGCATGGGCTTCTTTTTTAGTCTGCTCAAAAACAGTGAGTACTGAGTCTGAGCATGGGCTTCTTTTTTAGTCTGCTCAAAAACAGTGGGTACTGAGTCTGAGCATGGGCTTCTTTTTTAGTCTGCTCAAAAACAGTGAGTACTGAGTCTGAGCATGGGCTTCTTTTTTAGTCTGCTCAAAAACAGTCGGTACTGAGTCTGAGCATGGGCTTCTTTTTTAGTCTGCTCAAAAACAGTGGGTACTGAGTCTGTGCATGGGCTTCTTTTTAGTCTGCTCAAACACAGTGGGTAGTGAGACTGAGCATGGGTTTTTTTTTTAGTCTGCTCAAAAACAGTGAGTACTGAGTCTGAGCATGGGCTTCCTTTTTAGTCTGCTCAAAAACAGTGGGTACTGAGTCTGAGCATGGGCTTCTCAAGCCAAGGGAAATGGTGTGCCAGCTGACCCTTGTGAAGGGCGAATCCCACCCCACCACACTCCATCCCACCCGACCCCATCCCACCCCATCCCACATCCCACCACATCCCACCGCTCACCCGCCTCTCATTCGCACTCGCCACCGCCTCTCGTGCCACGTGCTGCACGTCAGCATCTGAGGAGTCAACGAAAGTCAACAGGTGGCCACACGGAGGGGGGATCACCGGCACCACGTGCCTGAGCGCCGCCTCCTGCTCCTCCCGCGTGCTCGCATGCCCCCACCCTGCCTGCACCACAAACGACTTCAACGTGTACTCCCATCCCTCCCCTCCTCCCTCCCCTCCTCCCTCCCCTCCTCCCTCCCCTCCTCCTGTTGCTGCTGCTGCAACGGACGCTGCCGCAGGGGTGGGTGCAGTTGCTGCTGCTGCTGCTGCTGCTGCTGCTGCTGCTGCTGCTGCTGCTGCTGCTGCTGCTGCTGCTGCTGCTGCTGCTGTTGCTGCTGCTGCTGCTGCTGCTGCTGCTGCTGCTGCTGCTGCTGCTGCTGCTGCTGCTGCTGCTGCTGCTGCTGCTGCTGCTGCTGCTGCTGCTGCTGCTGCTGCTGCTGCTGCTTCTGCTGCTGCTATGGCTACCAGTGTGGCTGAGGCTGCTGGCGGAGGGGCAGCAGCAGGGAGCGCGGATTGCGCGGCCACAAGAGGGCGGCGGGAGAGGAGGGCGTCGAAGAAGGCAGTGCGCAGCAGGCTGAGAGCCGCCAGTGTCACGCCGTACTCCTCCCCGCCTGCGCTTGAGTTGCCTGCGCTGCCATTGCCTGCGCTGCCATTGCCTGCGCTGCCATTGCCTGCGCTGCCATTGCCTGCGCTGCCATTGCCTGTGCTGGCAATGTCTGGGCGGTCCACATAGAGAACTCCGACTGGCTGTAGGCTGTCGTTCTGGCGTGGAGAGGCGAGAGACGGGGAGAAGGGGAGCAGGGATGAAGGGGAGAAGGGATGGAGGGGAGAAGGGATGAAGGGGAGAAGGGATGAAGGGGAGAAGGGATGAAGGGGAGAAGGGCTGAAGGGGAGAAGGGATGGAGGGAAGAAGGGATGGAGGGGAGAAGGGATGAAGGGGAGAAGGGATGAAAGGGAGAAGGGCTATCGCCTGTCGTTTACCTCGTCGTGGCCTCGTTCTGCTGCACAGTGGTGAGTCAGCATGAGTTGAAGGGAAAGAGTGCAACACCCGTTCGAGACTCTCGAGGCGAGAGTACAACACCTGTCGTAAGAGAGTACAACACCTGTCGTAAGAGAGTACAACACCTGTCGTAAGAGAGTACAACACCTGTCGTAAGAGAGTACAACACCTGTCGTAAGAGAGTACAACACCTGTCGTAAGAGAGTACAACACCTGTCGTAAGAGAGCACTCGGAGAGAATCGAGGCGAGGCGAAGCGATGCTCACCTTGGTGGCGTTGTGCTGTGCCACGGCGAATCGCGCCATGGCGATTTGGCTCTCGTTACTCAGCCAGTCGAAGTCGATCTCCCAATTAGGGTTTGGAGGGGAGCCGTTTGCTGCTGCCGAGAACATAGGCGGAAGACACACTCGACACGTGGATGCCACGTGGCAAAGGATAAGGAGGCATAACGGGCAAGTCAGGTGCTGCCGCATGCAACGGCGACGGCTCGTCATGATCGCCGCATCTTTTCGAGTGACTCTGTAGCGAGCAAGCTCTTAGTTCGTGTGACTGATATAAGAGTCAGTTCTGGACCGCGGTGTTTGTTTAGGCGTCAGTTCTGCGATAGGCTTCTGCGATCGGCGTCTCGAATCATGATGGTCTTGAATGTTTACCACTAATAGCGTCTGGTTCCGCAAGAGTGTGATTTTTCCAACCCTCTCCTGAATGATCAAACGAGTGGGAGTCGAGCTGCGCATGGGAGACTGTCTGAACACATCTCGCCAAAGTTCTTGGCCATAACTGATATTGACGATCCCTTTCCAGTTGTCCTGAGAGGCATGGTGGGAGGGCGGCGGTGTTCGCGGTGCGAGCCATTGCAGAGCCAGCTGAAAACGATTGAAAGAAGCGGGAAGGAAATGAGGGAGAACAGATTCGACTAGGACGAATGAGACGGGTGGAGCGTCTCGTCACAGTTGGCAGCGCATGTGACGGTGGAGTGGCGAGATAAGGTGTGCTTCCTCTCAACTGGGTCGCTCTCGCCTCTCGTCTGCGTGATCTGCGCGTACGACTAGCGTGATGGAAATCGAACTGAGGAAGAAAAGATGAGGAAGAAAAGGCGAGGAAGAAAAGGCGAGGAAGAAAAGGTGAGGAAGACCCGTGGCGAAGTTTGGCACCTGCTGAGTGTTTGTTACATCGATTCGCTTATGGTCGCATAGATTCGCCAAGGGAATGGAGGAACTACTCCCATTCATCTTCAACTTCGTTCCCTCCTCGAGTTGTTGCCAAATCGACGGTTCTGTGCGGTGGTGGTTTTGTGTACATTCTCGAGGTTTGCAAAGATCGCATCATCTCGCCGACCTCGTGTCATCCATGTCCGAATACGCTCGAGAGCGCAACTGCGCGAAAAGGTCAGATGGAGCGAAACGAGCACTACCGAGTCAAGCATGTTACTCGAGGCAAAACCTTCGCCTGGGTCGATAAAATCCGACGAAACTCGGATTTGCGAGATACTTGATTTGCGACGCATAACGTGTGGTTCACTCGAAGTGTTTCGTGATTGCCTCAGTTGTAGCACCGCCGGAACCAACGTGCGGGGAGACAGAAGCAGAAGATCTTGGGTCTGAACGGGAAACAGGAAAAACCTAGGGAAGCAGAGCTAAGTCAACAGCTGTCTGTACGGCAATTACTCTGGTCCGACAATGGCCACTGGGACCAGAGCAATTGCTGTGCTCGGCGATGGCGAAACGTCGTGGAATTGGTGGAAGCTTCCTGGCGCAGAGCTTGTGCATCTGTTGCCGCATAAATGCTATCATGCGGAAACGGAACACCAGCATAATCATGCTGCCAGCGTAACAAACCCTCGCCTTCACTGCATACTAGAGTTCCCCTCGACAGAAACCTTGTTTCTTGTGTAGGCGCCGTACTTGTCGGTTCCAAAAACCCCCCGATTTCGAACGACAGCGTTTTTTCCTACGTAGGTCGACCATTGGCGCTGATGGCTGGCTATGATGGAGATGAGGTGCTTGCGGGAGATCACACTCTCAATCTCACAGCGCCTTTTGATACCGAGAAGCACCACGAGGTGAGAGTAATGCCGCAGACAGTCCGCCTGAGGCGCTACAACCGTGGTTCCCAGCAGGTTCCCCTCCCTTCTCACCACGCCAGCTTCTCAGGACGAACGAGAGAGGTCCGACCTCTCATTTTTTTTTCTCTCTCTCTCTCTCCCTCTTTTGTGTGTGTGTGTGTGTGTGTTTTTTTTTTTATGTTTCACCCACCAGATCGTGGACGTGGTTGATCTTCTGCCCGGCCCCATCTGGCACATCATCTTCCGCCACCTGCTGCTGGGCAAATCACACGAGGGACGCAGAAAGCGTTTAGTTCGACGTTTGAATCGTCTGAAACATAATGTGCTGAATCGGGGTAGCTCCCCCGACGCATTGAGAACCTTCGGCTCCTGCTGGCCTCTGCTGCGCTGCGCCATGGTCTGCAAGAGGCTCCTCCACCATGTCGCCTCCTTCCCCGTGAGTCTCTCATTTCTCCCCATGAGTCTCTCATTGCTCCCCGTGAGTCTCTCATTGCTCCCTGTGAGTCTCTCATTGCTCCCCGTAATCCATGGTAGAGCAACTCTGTGTTCGTAGCTGCGTGTGAGCATGATTTTGAGCCATTGGCACTGCCAAGCTACACTCAGAAGACTTACAAAGTCGCTCCTCTAGTACCTACTCATCGATGTGTCTCTCCACCTCTCTCTCTCCATCTCTCTCTCTCTCTCCATCTCTCTCTCTCCATCTCTCTCTCTCCATCTCTCTCTCTCTCCATCTCTCTCTCTCCATCTCTCTCTCTCCTTCTCTCTCTCTCTCCATCTCTCTCTCTCTCTCTCTCCATCTCTCTCTCTCTCCATCTCTCTCTCTCCATCTCTCTCTCTCTCCATCTCTCTCTCTCTCTCTCTCTCTCTCTCTCTCTCTCTCTCTCTCTCTCTCTCTCTCTCTCTCTCTCTCTCTCTCTCTCTCTCTCTCCATCTCTTTCTCTCCATCCCTCTCTCCATCTTTCTCTCTCCATATCTCTCTCTCCATCTCTCTCTCTCTCCATCTCTCTCACTCTCACTCTCTCTCTCTCTCTCTCTCTCTCTCTCTCTCTCTCTCTCACACACACACTCTCTCTCTCTCTCTCTCTCTCTCTCTCTCTCTCACTCCATCTCTCTCCATCTCTCTCCATCTCTCTCCATCTCTCTGTCACACCGTGTGAGAGCAGGACTTGGAGCCCATGACGCGGCGTCTCAACCGCCTAGACCCCGCGCCCACACGTCCCTCGGGAGCGCTCTCTGTGTTCCTCCAGCACGCCCCCCACGCGCCCCTCAATTTCGTTCTCAGCGACTCCCGGGACCTGCGCTGCCTCGGCCCTCCCGTGGGTCCCTCTGCGCGCTCCCTCACAAGCCTGGGCCTTGGGCTCAAGGAGCCTCCACTTGAAAAAAATAAACCTACTCGTATTAAGGGACGGAGGCTGAATCCAGACTTTTTTGAAGTGCATAGTTTCAGTTTTGAGGAGAATCAGCAGATGTATCCGGGCGTCCTTGAGGGGTTTGAGCAGCTGCAGCGGCTGAAGCTGGGCCATGGGTTGTGGCAACTAGGCAAACTGAATCCGGCGAGGTTCCGGGCTTTAAGGAGTCTGAGCATCCTCGAGTGTGATGGAAATGATCTGTCCTTTCTCTCATCCCTCGCACCGCAGCTGCATGAACTCACTCTCGCCTCCTCCAATCCTGGCTCTGGTTCGACCACCCTCGATTTCAACCTCACCGCTGCTCGAGCTATCACAGTCTGCTTTGACAGACAAGCGCTCCACCTCCGCTGCGCCCTGCCTGCCTCTTTGAAGAGATTCTCTGCCGCTGCGTGGTCTCTTAACGTGGATTGCACATGCAACAGCCGCCTCTCTCTCGACTCACTCTCTCTCATTGGCCGCTCGCAGCTTCTCGTTTCTTCGCTCCCATTGGCTTCGGCTGTAACCGTCTACTTGAATGGACCAACCAGTCGAGAAAACCAGCAGCTTGCTTTTCCCTGTTCCGACCTCGAATCCCAACGCGCCTTGACCAACCTGCTCAGCAGCATAGCGCCTACAGTGGAGACACTTGTATTGAGGTACGGCTGGCCGTTGGAGGGCGTGCGGGTGGAGTGGAGCCAGCTGCGGCACCTCAGCGTTGGTGTGAACCGTCTTAGAACTCGGGGGTTTAGTTACAAAGACAACCCCGAGGATCCGGAGGACTCTCGATTTTGGAGGTGCTTTGGAGGGGAAGAAGAGAGCAGCAGCAGCAGCAGCAGCAGCAGCAGCAGCAGCAGCAGCAGCAGCAGCAGCAGCAGCAGCAGCAGCAGCAGCAGCAGCAGCAGCAGCAGCAGCAGCAGCAGCAGCAGCAGCAGCAGCAGCAGCAGCAGCAGCAGCAGCAGCAGCAGCAGCAGCAGCAGCAGCAGCAGCAGCAGCAGCAGCAGCAGCAGCAGCAGCAGCAGCAGCAGCAGCAGCAGCAGCAGCAGCAGCAGCAGCAGCAGCAGCAGCAGCAGCAGCAGCAGCAGCAGCAGCAGCAGCAGCAGCAGCAGCAGCAGCAGCAGCAGCAGCAGCAGCAGCAGCAGCAGCAGCAGCAGCAGCAGCAGCAGCAGCAGCAGCAGCAGCAGCAGCAGCAGCAGCAGCAGCAGCAGCAGCAGCAGCAGCAGCAGCAGCAGCAGCAGCAGCAGCAGCAGCAGCAGCAGCAGCAGCAGCAGCAGCAGCAGCAGCAGCAGCAGCAGCAGCAGCAGCAGCAGCAGCAGCAGCAGCAGCAGCAGCAGCAGCAGCAGCAGCAGCAGCAGCAGCAGCAGCAGCAGCAGCAGCAACAGCAGCAACAGCAGCAACAGCAGCAACCTGTTCATCAATGCTCCGAACCTGTAGTCTATTTACTATGCCTCTGAGGAGTGGCAACCGGGCATTCCAGCTTCTCTGTGCAGGCAGTTCCCTTGTCTGGTATCGTACAGCGTTGAAGATCCATCGTCTCTCTATCATGTGAGCAGGTGGAAGAGGAGCGGTGCAATTAGGTCAGACAGGCGTGGCAGGTTAGTATGGGATCACAGCGAGTCAGAGCGATAGCACGGGGTCAGATTGTGTCATGGTGATAGCATGGGGTCACATCATGTCACGGTGATGGCATGGGGTCACATCGTTTCACGACGGTCAGATTATGTTCCCCACCCCATGCCATGGGTCAGGGCATGGTGCAGGCAGGATGACTGATCGAACCATGAGGCACTTCGTGCTTTGAGAGAAGAGAGGGAGCAGGGTGGCTGGGGTAGTGAGTCGGTGGAACCAAGATACACTTGTGTGAGGGTTGCATGTGTGAGGGAGGTGTGTGCAGGGTCGAACGGGAGGCATGCTGTGTGCAAATGACGGTGGCGGTAAGGGTGTGACAGTAGGGGTGGTGTGCACCTGTGTGGTGCTTGCTAAACCCATGATGATGGGATGTCAATGGTGCTGGCATTGGGGGTACCGTAATGGTGGACATACGTGGTACTGCTGCTGTGCTGCTCTCTTGCTGCCTGCTGCCTGCCTGCTGCCTGCTGCCTGCTGCTCCACCAGTTGAGCACAGTAAAGCACAGGAGTTAGTGAAGATAGTTATGTATTGATGTTTTGTATATATGCTTGTATTCTGGTATTGATGCTTTGTATTGTTTTTTTCTGTTTTGCATCCAGCAAAGCGAAGAGAGACCACCCACCCGTAAAAAGGAAACATGCACATACAAGGGAGACAAGCACACGAGGCAATGTTACAAATCCCACCGTTGTAACTACAGAAGAAAAGCCAGCCGTGGGCACTGTGGTGCAGTTGGCAAGGAGGACATGGCCCACGGGTGGGGAAGCACAGTCAACGAGCAACACGCCCTCCGACTTTTGCTTCCCACTCCCCTCACCACTGTCTCCCCCATCCAGTAGGAAGAAGTCAACCAGGCGGTGAGCCGTGAAGGGCACCGACTGCCACACCACCACCTTCACCACCATTACTCGCTTCCCTGCCTGCTCTTCAGCTGCACCCACCTCTACTGCCTTGGCTTTGCTTCCAGGCACTGTCAGCAGCGCTGCAGGTGCTGCATCCACCGCTGCTGTTACAGTCACGCTGTAGTTGATCCCTGCCCCCTCCACCACATTTGCCCTCGCTACAAGAACGTCCAGCAGAGTCACATTCAAAGAGAGGCTGCTGTTCCGATTGAGTTGGTGGAGGGCTAAGAGAGCGAGGAAGCGGATCGAGAAGCCATTGTAGGTGTCGGTATAAGGGGTGGTAGTGGAGGCATTGGAGGAGGCATTGGAGGAGGCATTGGAGGAGGCATTGCTAGGGGCAGTGGGAATCGTTGAATTGTTAGCAGGAGTAGCAGCAGGGATGAGCACCCACCCTTCATCCACACACACCCCTGCCATGGCCCGTGCCAAGTCCCACTCCACCCCACCACCGCCACTTCCACTGTTGCTGTTGCTGCTGTTGAATGCACTGCCCCTGCCACCACCAGCACCACCAGCAGCGCTGCTGCTGCTCGCATTCCTCCTGGCACACCCCCCTGCTGCCGCCACACCCATCTCCCCCACTGTTGCATTCCGCTGCGTCCCCGCCACCACCGCAAACGCCGTCACATTCACCAACCCCCTCCCACTCGCACTCACCAACCTTGCCCCTTCAGCTGCTGAAGATGCACCAGAAGCGGCACCACTCGCGTTCGCCCCTTGTGAAGTATCAGCCGTGGCATCGCTGTTGCTCGTCTGCCCCAAGTCCAGTGCGTGCGTGGCATAGTGTGCCGCCATGCGGGTGGTGTTATCTGCTGCCAGCAGTGTGAGCGAGGGTGTACTCTCTGTACCCCGGCATCACCACCTGTGCCTCCAGCACAGAAATCAAAAGCAGCGCCGTGCGCTGTGTGTGGAGGGGAGGCAAGGAGGGGAGCCAGCAGCAGCAGTGTGAGTGAGGATGTAACTCTCTGTACCCCGGCACCACCAACTGTGCCTCCAGCACTGAGATCAGCAGCAGCGCGCTGCCCTGTGTGTGGGGGAGGGGACCAGGCAGAAGAGGGAGAGAGGGAGAGCACGCGCCTGAGCATGGGCCTCGAGTGAAGGGAATGAAGTGCAGCAGACTGACCCATCCCATCCCATCCCACCCCACCCCACCCCACCCCACCCCACCCCACCCCACCCCACCCCACCCCACCCCACACCACCCCACCCCACCCCACCCCACCCCACCCCATCCCATCCCATCCCATCCCATCCCATCCCATCCCATCCCATCGCATCCCACCCACCCCATCCCACCCCACCCCTCCCCACCCCTCCCCACCCCATCCCACCGCTGACCTGCCTCTCATTCGCACTGGCCACCGCCTCTCTTGCCACTCGCTGCACGTCCTCCCCTGACAGGTCAACGTAAGTCAACTCATCGCCACGTGCAGCGGTCGGCCGCAGCACCACGTGCCTCAGGGCAGTCTCCTGCTCCTCCTTCTTGCTAACATGCTCCGACCCTGCCTGCATGCTGAACCACTTTAAGCTGTACTCCCCTCCTCCCCCACCTCCTCCTCCTGCTGTTTCCGCAGTGGCTGCTCCTGCTGTTTCCGCAGTGGCTGCTCCTGCTGTTTCCACTGTGGCCACTGCTCCTGCTGCTGCTGGCGCGGCCGGAGTGCCGCCTACGTGAGGCGGAAGGGCAGCAGGCGTGAGTGCGGGTTGCGCGGGCACGACAGGGTTCCAAGAGACCAGAGCGCGTCGTAGGAGGCGGTGAGGGCGGACTGCTGGAGCGGCCGGAGCACCTACATGTGGTGGAAGGGCAGCAGGCAAGAGTGCTGAAGGCGCGGGCATGAGAAGGTTCCAAGAGACCAGAGCGTCGTAGGAGGCGGTGCGGCCGCGCAGCAGGCTGAGAGCCGCCAGAGAGAGGCGGTACTCCTTGTCGCCTGCGCTTCAGTCGCCTGCGCGCTCCACCCTCACCAGACTGATCGGCTGTAGGCTGCCGTTCTGAAGTGGGGAGGCGGGGGGAGTGGGGGAGTGCCGGCGGTGAATGGCGCTGCTCCTTGTGCTAGCAGCCTGCGCTTCAGTCGCCTGCGCGCTCCACCCTCACCAGACTGATCGGCTGTAGGCTGCCGTTCTGAAGTGGGGAGGCGGGGGAAGAGGGGAAGGAGAGGATACGGGGAGGAGGGAAGAGGCGGAAAACGGAAGAAGCGGAAAGACGGAAAGGGGTGAAGGGGAAAGGAGGAGGAGAATGGACCCTCAGCTGGATTGACTTCAAAAGTGCTGCTCTTGAAACAATGTTTGACGCCTGTCGCCCAACGCCTGTCGCCCAACGCCTGTCGCTTGTCGCCCATCGCCTGTCGCCTGTCGCCTGTCGCCCATCGCCTGTCGCCTGCCTCGCCGTGGTCTCGTTCTGTGGGTCGCGGTGAGTCAGCTTGGGTTCAAGAGTACAACACTAGATTTCAGGCGCCTCAAAACTGGTTCAAGAGTAAGAGCACACAACACTTCGAGAGCGAATCGAGTCTCACCTTGGCCGCGTTGTGCTGTGCAACTGCGATTCGAGCCATGCCAATCTTCTCCTCTTCACTTGGCCAGTCCGGATTAGGGTTTGGTGGGGTACTGTCTGCTGCTCCCGTGAACAAAGGCGGTAGACATGCACGACACGTTGATGCCACGCAGAGGATAAGGAGGCACAGCGGGAAAGTCGGACACCGCCGCATCTCAACGCGGCGGCTCGTCATGATCGCCGTGTCTACTCGAGTGACTCTCTAGCGATTTTCCTCACGCCCCGTGACCGTTAGGCGTCAGTACCGGAACGCGGGGGTTGTTCTTGCGACATGCTTCAGCGATGGCGACTTGAATGGTTACCACTAGGTTCTGGTTCCGCAAGAATGCATTTTTTCAACCCTCTCCTGAACGATCAAAAGCTTGTGAGTCGAGCGGCGCGTGGGAGGCTGCCTGTCGTGCAGTGCACGCGTCTCGTCGAAGTTCCTGGCCTACTTGTCCTGCCTCCATTACTATGCCGGTCCCATCCTTGTTGTCCCGAGAGGCATGGTGGGAGGGCGACGGTGGTCGCGGGGCGTGCCATTGCGGAGTCAGCAGAGTGCGAGAGAAGATGAGGAGGGAGGGAGATGAGGGAGAGACCAGATTTGACGAGGACGAACGCCAGCAGCGCATGTGACGGTGGCGAGAAAAGGAGTTTCTGTTCTCAGCAAGGTTGGTCGGTCTGGTCTAGTCTGGTCTGGTCTAGTCTGGTCTAGTCTGCGACTCTCTGAGATATGCGAGTTGGTGTTACGGGTGCAATGAATCAAAGTAGCGAGAATTGCACTAAGTGTCAAACGAGTACCAAATGTGAGCGAAGGTGTAAGGAATTTTTCCGGATTCCTTACTGGGTCACTCCGTACGCGTACAACTCCGACTTTCGGAAATCCAGGCTCGGTCCGACGACCTCGCCTTCCGAACCACTACCGCGTCGCCTTCGGGTTTTCCAACCCCGAACCTGCACCCGACCACTTTGCGACCCCGCGACCTCGGCCTAGCTAGACTTGCTATATTGTGCCTAGCCCTCGTTGTTCGATCAGACGTTGCAATCACTTCCGCATTATTGAGTTCTGCGCACTCTCTTCTTTCACAACTTATAACACTTGGTATCAGAGCCTAAAGTCCTAGGTTACCCTCGCGTTTCCGGGGTAGTTTATAGAAGGGGAGCGATAGACTTGGTGGGCTGTTAAGCGGTCGGCCCGTGGAATAGATCTGATTATTCCACTCCGACTACGATTGCATTAACGCCTTCACCGAAGTCAGAAAAATCGCGAGCCAACCCCTGCCCGTTCGACGAAGCCTGAGACACATGGATCAGGCCGAGTTTAACGAGTTCATGCAACAGTTCCGTGCGATGCAGGCCAACTTCCAGGGTATGACTGCAGAGATGGAGCGTTTACAGAAGGAAAACGCCAAACTACACCAGGCGCGTGGTGAAGCGCGCCAGGAGTCGCCTGTCGTGGACGACGCAAGTAGCAGCACGACACCAGATGAGCGGGTCTGGAGCGAGCTGGAAGGCGAGATGGATGCGGACGAAGCGAGGCAGGTGCAGCAGGAACAGTCACCACAACAGTCGCGTGCAGTGCCGTCACGTGCAGCAGCGACGACCACGGCGACACCTGCAGCAACGCCAGTGGCACCGATGGCAGCAACGGCCTTCGTGAAAATCAAGCCGACAAACCCGCCCCCGTTTAACCCGAGTGACAAATTTGTCACTGTTTCTGCATGGTTGTTCGGAGTGGAGGTGTTTTTTAATGCTGCTATGATTCATGACGATGCCACCCGCATTAACTTCGCTGTTTCACTGTTGCGAGGACCTGCGCTGGAGTGGTGGAGGCGAACGCTGCAAAACGAAGGGACTTCGACAGGAATAGCACGTGCGAACGACGGGACTTCGACACCTGTCACGCATCAGGCAACATCAATTTTCGGGACGGCTACGATACGCACATGGAGGGAGTGGGGCGCCGCCTTGCGAACCAGATTCGAGCACATATCCGCCTCGGATTCTGCTCGCATGCAGCTGCGTACCTGGAAGCAGTTGGCTTCTGTTCAAGACTACACCAGCAAGTTATGCAACTTGGCGGATCAAGTGGACGACATGAGCGATGCTGAACGGTTGGATCGCTACGTGGCGGGGCTGAAATACGAGATACAGTACGAAGTCCGAAGAACCCGGTCACGCAGCTTCAACGATGCCGTCCGGGAAGCCGAGTCAACGGATGCGCTGATGTAGTGGGCGAGATCGAGCTCCCGGGAGGGCCCTCGATTTCGTGGACAGACCCAGCAGCCCACGATCAACGGCGTGGATGCACCTAGCCGGACCCTTGGGCCGTGCTTTCTATGCAACCAGCTGGGCCACCTGAAAAAAGACTGCCCGAGGCTTAAGCAGGGGAAGAAGAACGACGGAGAAGGGTCGGGAAAAGATACGAGTCAGTAGCAGACGGGCCACCTACTGACGAGACCCTGTCGCCCGACAATCACAATCCACACCGGGTCGTGGTACCGATCAGAGCTATCGACCAGAACCGGACGAATAACGTGGGTGAACACGTGGACTACCCTGTGCTGGTGGTAGGGAGGGTTAATGGATATAAAATTAAACTTTTCGTGGACGGTGGGGCGAGCCACAGTCTCGTCAACCTGGCCACGGCCAAAAAAATTGGGGTGAAGCTGACCAGGTGTCTGCCGGAGATGGATGCACGGTTGGTGGACGGGACGCCACTAGCCATCCGAGATGAGGCGCGACAAATTCGGATAAAGTGCGGCGACAAATTCGGGTTTGGGATGCGAATGTTGGCGACAACGCTGGACGGCTGCTATGTGCTGCTGGGGAGAGATTGGCTACAACGATTTAATCCGACGATCGACTGGACAACTGGGGCGTGCGTCGTACGAGGATACAGAGGAAAAACGACGCTTCCGAAATGGACGGAGCCGGAGCCGGTGACGACACGTGTCAACGCGGTCAACATGCAGCGTGCGATGAACAGCGGAGCTCAGGCCTTCTTGGTACATCTGTACGAGGTTGCAGCTTCCGAGAAAATCGCGGACATCGACACCCTCTGCGCGGCAATCCCTGAGGAATTGGCGAGCATTATTCGGAAGTATCCCGAAATTTTCGCGGATGACCTCCCGAATGGCTTGCCCCCCCAACGACCTGAGGACCATCGGATCCAGCTGGAACCAGGAGCGCAACCTACTGTTCGGTCACAGTGGCGGCTCAGCAACCAGAGCTCGCCGAGTTGCGGGCCCAGCTGGATTACCTGCTCGCCAAAGGATTTATCCGGCCAAGCACGTCGCCGTATGCAGCACCGATACTGTTCACACCGAAGAAGGATGGGGGCCTACGCATGTGCATTGATTATCGGGCGCTAAATCGGGTCACGATAAAGTCGCGTTACCCGATCCCGCGAACTGACGATCTGCTGGACCAACTTCGCGGAGCTCGGTACTTCTCGAAAATTGACTTGCGAGGAGGCTACCACCAGATTCGCGTGTTCGCCGACGACTGCCCGAAGACCGCTTTTCGCACACGCAAAGGCAGTTACGAGTTCACGGTGATGCCGTTCGGTCTGACAAACGCGCCCTCGACGTTCCAGCTCACCATGAACGGCATTTTTCGGGACATGCTGGACAAGAAAGTCATTGTGTATCTGGACGACATCCTGGTGTACAGCGCGACAAAGGAAGATCATCTGCGGGATTTAGAGGAGGTGTTCCGGCGTTTACAGGGGCATCGGCTGATTACGAAGGGGTCTAAGTGTGAGTTTCTAAAACCGGAACTGGAGTTTTTGGGGCATGTGGTTTCCGGCGAAGGAATTAAAATCGTCCCGAGTAAGGTGGACGCCATCGTTAAGTGGAAGCCGCCTACTAATATCACTGAGTTGCAAAGTTTTTTGGGATTTGTCAACTACGTTCGCCGTTTTGTACCCAATATGGCAGGGATAACCAAGCCGCTGACCGACCTGCTGCATCACGACAATGATTTT